TATGTACTTTCATCCACCACAACTTCTGCTTCACCTTCGGCTGTTGCCCTGACAACGGTGCAGTCACGGCCACTATCTGTCCGCAGGTTAGTTTCACTTTGTGAGCTCGTCATGTCGCAACTTCTTCTTTTATCCATCTGAAGGTTTGTAGGAGACACTTTCACTGTTTGAGTCCTCAGTGAGTCTTTGTTCATCTTGTTGGTTTAGTTCAGTCGAAAGAGCAGAAACAACAATCAACTTCAAAGTAAGTAACTTCATGGAAGATTTATTCATGAGTACAGTGGGAGTCTTTCTTACCAAGATTAATTATATTGCAAGTGTATCTTACATAGTCATAGTTAGGGTCATTATTATTAGTAGTAGTAGTAATAGTAGTGGTAGTAAGGTTCTAGTGTTTATTTTTAAAAATAGTAGTTGTCACACATTTTATATTTATTTTCTGTTACTGTAATTATTATATTGGGTTAGGTCTCTGTACTCCTCCTCCCTATCATGTGTGATACATCATCATTATTTTAAGAGGGTTTTGTATACATGCAGCCCTATAGGAGAGGGCTATAGTAAGTTTGGGGTTTAAGAGTCACTTTGTACTGTAATGGTTGAAAGGTCAGCCTTTGTTTTTTATTTTCTCCAATACTACCTACATTTGGTGTGAATATAATACAATGTGCTTATTTGAGTGACTAAGTCACACCTCAGACAGTCCCTTAGGAAGTATTCACATTGTTTACTGCAGTAAAAGTAGTCATACTACACTATAAAAACACTGCAGTACAACTTGAAGTAGTCAGTGAACAGAATGTCCTCTGTTAGTGTTGTATTATTATATTAGTGGATGATTATTATTGATGCATTAACATGTAATCAGTACTTTAATGTTGGAGTTGCCTCAGGTGGAGCCAATATGAAATACTTCAAATACTTTCTGCTTGAATGTAAAATAATTAATTCTATTTTATAAACATTTGCCAGATAAATGCAGCTCCATGAGGCCATCTAGTGGTCTGATAGTAGAAGAAGATCAGCTGATGGCAGCTTTCTGCTCTCATTCTTCCTGAACACTGACCAGTGAGAACAAGCAGCATCTCCTCTGGCCAATAACAAACAACTATTGATCCATGTATTGATTAGTTTGAAATGTGTGACAGTGATGAGAAAAGGCCATCAGTAGTTAAAAATGATAAAAGATACATAACACAGACAAACTGTATAAAAAGTTCCCTAAACAGGAAATAATCTGCTCAGAATTCATCCAAATCAACTTCAACTTCTTGCAGTTACTGAGTTCAATATTTGGGTTGATTGTACAGTTTTGGATATGATATGAAATATTTATAAAATATGTCACTCAGTCAGGGATCGTCAGTTTACTCAGAGATAGAAAAAGGTTGGGAACCACTGATGTAAAGGATGAATGAGTGATGATGAGTTCTCAGTGCTGATCAGTGATTGGACTGATGCTTTCAGCTCTGCTCTCAGTGTTTCCTCTACAGATGAAGGTAGAAAGTCTCTGGGAGCTGATGTGGATGTGAATTCAGCAGCAGCTGCCAAGGTAACAGGATTGATTTTGGATTATTGGACTAGCTGCCACTGCATGCTCTGACTGGATATAGTAGACTTGGAAAAAGAGCAACATTTCAACTGTTGAGGAGCTTTTCAAAGTCAGTCAAATAGAAGTGAAAAGTAAAAAAGCAACATGAAGTGTATTCCTCTAGTCTTCAACCAATCAGACTAAAGAGCATTGTGAATGTCATTTCTTAGATACTGCAGCTCAAAGTGCCAACAGCATTTCTACTCTGCCAGGGAAACTGTCAGATAAGTGGATTTAGTATTGAGCTGAATGAGCCGTTTCCTCCAATCAGAGCTGTGTGTGTTTGTCATGTGACTGAGAGGAATGATGTGTGATCTCTCCCAACAGGTTGCTGTGTCTGTGTGAAGGTGTGGGCTCTGCTATGAATCAGTGTGAGGACAGAGAGGAGGGAGTCCCTCCCTCTAAAAGAAAAAAGTGTGGGGAACATGACACAAGGACCAAAGCTCAGAGGTGAGATGAGGATCTCTAACTGTCCATGACTCTTCTCCATGTCACAAAGGCTTTGATTCTCCATTTGAAACAAAGACATTTATCTGAGCAAAAGTACGTAGTTGTCAGTATTCAAACAGGGCTGGACAATCTGATCTCAAATCAGTATCAGGAGAAACTGTCACATTCAGCTTCATAATGAGAAATGTAACAGTAACGTGTTGCTCACTGCTGATGTTTGTCCTGATTCATTCCAGTCTGACCAGTTTCACATTCTGCTCTTCTGGACTGGACTGGGAGCTGATTGCTCGCTGGTTAGATGTTGTAGCTGCTCTCACTTTAATTATATGGAATTCAGACAGTGTGTTGAAGTGTGTGACATCAGTAAATTGTGTTCAGTAACACATCCATAATGTCAGTAATTGAAGACATTGTTCTTATTGTCCAGCCCTGTATTCAAACATTTCAAATTATACATAATTTCACAAAGTCTTTGATTCAGTGAGAATGGTTCTGAATATGTGAGCTTTAATGAATTTCTTTCTATCAGGATCCATCAGAGACCAGACTGTCCTGAACCTGAACCCAGCTGTGTGTCCATGAAGAGTGACCACTCTATGGTTCATCCTATAGAGTTCAAAGATGTCCGCCACTCTGTTGATCAAAGGTGAGGATTTCAAACTGATGATGAAAATAAAGTTATGTGTTTTTATCAGACTCTCTTTCTAATTGAACAAATAGTTGCAGCAGTTTATAGAAACTCACTGTCTGTTCGTCTTTTTATCCTAATTGGACCGATATGGTCACTCCACCGCATCATTTCCCCACTGCACACTGCACTGAATACAACTTTAATAAATACACTGAAACATTTCTAAATCAAACACTGACTTTATAGAAATCCTAACCATGAACTCCCTGGATACAAATAGACTGCGTACAGTAGGTGTATTCAGTCACTGGCAGGTTTTGTCTCTGTGTGTTGTGGGTGCAGTGCAGAATTTATCCTGTTTTTGTATCAGGAGGAAAAAACCTGAACCCAGCTGTGTGTCCATGAAGAGTGACCGCTCTATGGATCATCCTTATCATTTCAAAGATGGCCACCACTCTGTTGATCAAAGGTGAGGATTTCAAACACATTATGACAATAAAATGATGTCTTTTTCAGTTCTGAGATCTCCAGTTTTTAAACCTTTACTGACTCATAGGAAATTCTCTGAGCACCAACACTCTTTTTCAGCAGCAGCTGCCTCACACTCACACAGTCAAACACATTCACACTGGGAGCTGCCCAGTACAACCAGTCTGATACAAGCAGACACTGAGCAGCTCCACTGGACCACTTGGAACCTCAGCAGTGTACAGTGAGGGCGGGAGAGCTATATGGAGGGGTTGGTAAGAGCTGTTGGGAAGGAACCAAACTTAGCTGTTGATTCTCAGTTGGATCAGCAAGATTAGTAAACCTTTACCACTACAGGGAGTCATCAGATTCACTGTTCACGTCCAAATATCACTTCATGGACCTTTACCTTGTATTTGTCTCTTTGTGGACAGACATAATGTGAGATAATTCTTGGTTCCTCCACAGAGTGGACCAGGAGAGCTCAGAGCCTCCCAGTGGTCAGTCTGCCCAGCAGCATCAAACAGACCTGGACTCCATATTTATGGTCTGTACATGGACAACAACTACTTTTACATCTATTGTGTTCACAATAATCTCCATGCTGCACTTTTTAGACCAGTGGATTGTCAGTCTGTTCAACATGGATCTGATGTTTGCTTCCATGATTTGACTTTGATTGAGTCATTCATATAATATTCTGTTCCAGCTGCTGGAGGACAACATTGTCACTTTTGCGAAGAATGAGCTGAAGACGATCCAGAAGGTTCTGAGTTCAGATTACCCCGGATGCTTAGAGAGTCAAAAGGAGGGTGAGCAGGTGTTGGACGGTGAGGATGAAGAGCAGAGGAAGAGCAGTAGAGAGGCATTTCTGAAGATCACACTGCACTTCCTGAGGAGAATGAAGCTGGAGGAGCTGGCTGACCATCTGCAGAGCAGTAAGAGGATTTCTCTAAAGATTTAACTCGCTGGATAAATGAGACATTTACTGATGTCTCAAGAGATGGACCAAAATATATTCAAATATTCAAAAACAATACATAATATAAATTCACTAATATATCATTGTGCATTATTAGAGATTAAACACATTAATACATCAATAATCATAATCACAAGTCTCTTGAAGTATTTTTAAACTGTGATCTTGTAAGCTAAGTACAAGATCTGAGCACTTTACGTGTGTGTTAAAATAACTTTTAAGAATTATTTTTAATATTTCATCCTAAATTTTGCTCTATTATTACTCATGAAGGTGTAACCAATCAGATAGAGTTGTGGGCGGGACACTGAGCGAGACTACAAAAAGAGAGAAGTGGCTGCATCAGAACAAAAATTGCACATTTTAAAAAGTATATATTGTTTGGGCACTAAGATTCCTCAAAAAAGTTTTTTGAGGCTAGCTTCTGCCAGGTGGGTACTGCCAGAAGTTCAGCCCATTAACTTTGTGCTGCAGAGCAAAACTTAAGAGCATGTATGTGGGCAACAGCCAATTTATACTCCATGATCAAGTCCACTTCCCCTTATTGAGATGAAGGGAGGCAGTAGGTTATCACCTGGCAATATGAAAGTCCCATTAGCTAAAAAAAAGTTTGGGAACCCCAGCTTTAGTGTATTTTCTTTATAAATCACTCAATGATCTTCTTTTCTGTGTGTTCATAAAGGACATATTGTTGGAGTTTGTCAGCGTGAACTTAAATCTAACTTGAAGAAGAAGTTCCAGTGTGTGTTTGAGGGGATTGCTAAAGCAGGGAACCAAACACTTCTGAACCAGATCTACACAGAGCTCTACATCACAGAGGGAGGGACTGCAGTGGTCAATGATGAACATGAGGTCCGACAGATTGAAACAGCATCAAGGAAACCAGACAGACCAGAAACAACAATCAGACAAGAAGACATCTTTAAAGCCTTACCTGGAAGAGATCAGCCAATCAGAACAGTGATGACAAAGGGAGTGGCTGGCATTGGGAAAACAGTGTTAACACAGAAGTTCACTCTGGACTGGGCTGAAGGCAAAGCCAACCAGGACATACAGTTCACATTTCCATTCACTTTCAGAGAGCTGAATGTGCTGAAAGAGAAAAAGTACAGCTTGGTGGAACTTGTTCATCACTTCTTTACTGAAACCAAAGAAGCAGGAATCTGCAGGTTTGAAGAGTTCCAGGTTGTGTTCCTTTTTGACGGTCTGGATGAGTGTCGACTTCCTCTGGATTTCCACAACACTGAGATCCTGACTGATGTTACAGAGTCCACCTCAGTGGACGTGCTGCTGACAAACCTCCTCAGGGGGAAACTGCTTCCCTCTGCTCGACTCTGGATAACCTCACGACCTGCAGCAGCCAATCAGATCCCTCCTCATTGTGTTGACATGGTGACAGAGGTCAGAGGGTTCACTGACCCACAGAAGGAGGAGTACTTCAGGAAGAGGTTCAGAGATCAGGAGCAGGCCAGCAGAATTATCTCCCACATCAAGACATCGCAAAGCATCCACATCATGTGCCACATCCCAGTCTTCTGCTGGATCACTGCTACAGTTCTGGAGGATGTGTTGAAGACCAGAGAAGGAGGAGAGCTGCCCAAGAGCCTGACTGAGATGTACATCCACTTCCTGGTAGTTCAGTCCAAACTAAGGAACGTCAAGTATGATGGAGGAACTGAGACAGATCCACACTGGAATAAAAAGAACAGGAAGATGATTGAGTCTCTGGGAAAACTGGCTTTTGAGCAGCTGCAGAAAGGCAACCTGATCTTCTATAAATCAGACCTGACAGAGTGTGGCATCGCTATCAGAGCAGCCTCAGTGTACTCAGGAGTGTTCACACAGATCTTTAAAGAGGAGAGAGGACTGTACCAGGACAAGGTCTTCTGCTTCGTCCATCTGAGTGTTCAGGAGTTTCTGGCTGCTCTTCATGTCCATCTGACATTCATCAACTCTGGAGTCAATATGCTGGCAGAACAACAAACAACATCCCTGAAGTCTAAATTATTTAAACACCAACAGAATCTAAACTATCTCCACCAGAGTGCTGTGGACACGGCCTTACAGAGTCCAAATGGACACCTGGACCTGTTTCTTCGCTTCCTCTTGGGTCTTTCAATGCAGACCAATCAGAATCTCCTACGAGGTCTGCTGATACAGACAGACAGTAGCAATCAGGAAACAGCCCAGTACATCAAGAAGAAGATTGAAGAGACTCCCTCTGCGGAGAGAAGCATCAATTTGTTCCACTGTCTAAATGAACTGAATGATCGTTCTCTAGTGGAGGAGATCCAACAGTTCCTGAGTTCAGGAAGTCTCTCCACAGATAAACTGTCTCCTGCTCAGTGGTCAGCTCTGGTCTTCATCTTACTGTCATCAGAAAAAGATCTGGACGTGTTTGACCTGAAGAAATACTCTGCTTCAGAGGATGCTCTTCCGAGGCTCCTGCCAGTGGTCAAAGCCTCCAACAAAGCTCTGTAAGTACAGAGAGAGTTGAATTTCTTTCTTATTACTTAAATACTTGCTTGTTTTTTCTTTATTATTGTCTTTTCAGACTGAGTGACTGTAACCTCTCAGAGAGAAGCTGTAAAGTTCTGTCCTCAGTTCTCAGCTCCCAGTCCTCTAGTCTGAGAGAGCTGGACCTGAGTAACAACAACCTGCAGGATTCAAGTGTGAAGCTTCTGTCTGCTGGACTGGAGAGTCCACACTGTACACTGGAAATTCTCAGGTCAGGATCCATCAATGTGTTCAACTGATTACCACAAATATTCTGATTCACATGAAGGCAACACTATGGTTTTGGGGGACATTAAGTGTCTGTTTCAGTTTCAGAGTATCCAGCAGCAGCAGCTTTCATCCAACAAGCTCTGATAAAGCCACTGTACACTGTGGTCAGCAGATAGTGAACACAGTGGAGCATTTAGCAGCTACAGAGCCAGATATTTCCCTCAGGAGTTGGTAGAGAGCAAACACAGAGATAAAGAGAGTGAATATTGGACTTAGATTCAGCAGGTGACAGAAACACATCTCCAGTGGGATGATCATGTTCCACCTGGCTGCTGATTGATATCATGTTAGAAATAACTACTTTATAAATAGATTTGTTTACTTCTTGTTTTCACTGAACCCCAAGTGAACAAAGAAATCAGTTGGTGCAGGTCATTTGATTTACTGACTGACTGGTTGAGGAAACTGAGTCGGAACTTTATGATGATTGTCAATATAATGCTGGTAATAACACATAATCAATTGGTAAAAATAATGAGCTGTAGCAATCGGCCAGTAAGAAGCTCCACTTAACTAAAAGAATATCAGCTGATGAATAATAAGTGCTCTATGTGAAGATGTAAGTCCATTTGTAGAGAATAACCTCTTTGTACAAAATAACATCCAGTTTGTAAGAAAATTCAAATATTTAACAATAACAGGCTAATTCAGTTTTTATTTTCATAGTCCAACCCTGACAATGTTTGCTTAGAAAATGCAGCTGAATACTCCTGGTTTACATCAAATCTGTAAATACAATGCTTATTTCAATCTCAAAGAAGCCCAAAAACATGTTTGAAATTTGAGTTAATCTAAATTTCCAATGAACAAACAGTCGGAGGAAGAAAGACTTGACTTTTAAAATAACATTAGCTACACTAAAGCGGATAGCCCTCAATCTGAGGGAGAGCTGCAGGGGGAAGGAGAGAGTACAGGAGAGGAAATGAGACAAAAGCAGAAGATAAAATAAAATAAGGAGATGTGGAGAAGTCACAGTGGAGAGTGAGAAAAGGAAAGACATACGCGGAGAGCTCTGTTCTTCAGATTGAGAACAATCAGTACATTTATTTACTGCTTTCAAAACTTGGATTTTAAACCGTTCACACTGGTTGGTTCTTAACCACTGTGTCATATGTTTACAACCATATAATGTACAGCTTGTATCATCATTTGAATATCTTATCAAATGTGATTTCATTTTAATACAAATGTTATTCTGTCTCTTCAGACTGAGTGGCAGTAACCTCTCAGACAGAAGCTGTAAAGTTCTGTCCTCAGTTCTCAGCTCCCAGTCCTCTAGTCTGAGAGAGCTGGACCTGAATAACAACAACCTGCAGGATTCAGGACTGAAGCTTCTGTCTGCTGGACTGGAGAGTCCACACTGTACACTGGAAACCCTCAGGTCAGGATCCATTGATGTGTTCAGCTGATGACCACATATATTCTGATTCACATGAAGGCAACACTATGAAGATTTGGTATTTGTTGATGTGACTTGTGCCATAAAGAGAGACCCTTGTCCCAACCAAAAAATAAATATTACAATGTGCAAGAACAGGCGTACAGAGGAACCATTCATCCTGGTACAAGTCAGCGTAACATCAAAATGATTCTGAAGCGGTTATTTTATCGTAGAAATATTACACCACATTGCTTCAGTGGATAAAATCATGACCTCCACAACATTATCTCTGCTTATTGGATTTGACACCTGTTTTGTTTATTTTGTTTCAGTCTCTTTCCATGAACATGTTTATTATGTAATGTGTTCTGTGTGTTTGCAGGCTGTCAGGCTGTCTGATCACAGAGGAAGGCTGTGCTTCTCTGGCCTCAGCTCTGAGCTCCAACCCCTCCCATCTGAGAGAGCTGGACCTGAGCTACAATCATCCAGGAGACTCAGGAGTGAAGATACTGTCTGCTGGACTGGAGGATCCAAACTGGAGACTGGACACTCTCAGGTATGAAGAGGATCAACACAGACAGGAACAGTAGCCAGGATTATCCAACACAGAGATGTGAACAACAGTGTCAAAGTCAGACACGTTGTACATCCAACATTTACTGACTGACTAGTAGAGGAAGAGTCTGAACTTTATGATGATTGTCAATATAATGCTAATAACAATACATCATCAATAGAATAATTAGCTGTAGCAATCGGCCAATAAGAAGAATCTCCACTTAACTAAAAGAATATCAGCTGATGAATAATAAGTGTTCCATGTGAAGATGTAAGTCCATTTGTAGAGAATAACCTCTGTGTATGACAGTGATGTAATGTCCATGTTTTCATGCTGAAAGAGGATGTACTGGTCTGACCCCCCTCCTCCTTTCAGGGTGGAGCCTGCTGGAGTCCGATGGTTGAGACCAGGTCTGAGGAAGTGTAAGTGTGTTTTTAATTGATTTCTGTGATCACATTTTTTAATTGTGTAATATAGGCGTTATATAGGGTAGGGTGATATTACATCAAAAACATTCACATCGTCATAAATATCTTTCCACTACCCTGCTTTATCCCCATGGAGAGTGGGGGGGTCTGCTAATACAGACACCTGACTATGAGAAAGTTTGCTTAAACTTTTGTCACTGCTCCTCTATGATTGTCTTTTTAAAGAAGGGTTTAACTAATTATATGGCTCCACTGTGTAGAAACTTAGGATACATCATTGAGGAATAAAGACCCATTGTAGGTACCTATACATATATATACCTATATATAGAGAGCGATTATGAGATGAGAAAAAGAGCCTAGTAATGGCAAGGTTCTTTAACATTAACTTAAACCATAAAGGCCATACACAACATACCAGTAGCTACCTGCAGTTTAAAGGTGTTAATGTGTATGAAAAAAAATCTTAAGCTTCCTTGCTTGAGTTGAAGATGTGCAGAATATATATATAGTATAAAGTCACACTTAGAGTATGTAAAGTGACTGCAGGCTTCCTCTTCACCAGAGGTACATAGCAGGGTTTAAGGTGAACCAGGTTGTGATCTAACCTGCCCAGAGGGGGGAGAGAAGAGGAGATGTATGCATCCATAATGTTAGCATACATCAGATCCAGGGTCCTCTCCTCTCTGGTAGGACAGCTCACGTAGCTACTGTTTAAAAGGCAGAACTCCGATGTGATTAAAGTCTCCCGACATGATGATGAGGGCACTGGGGTGTTGAGTTTGAAGTTTGGAGATGGTGGTGTGTATGATGCAGGCAGATGTTGGGTTTGCAGAGGGAGGGATGTACACAACGTGCGGGATCTCTCTCAGTAGATGATATGGAGTCCAACGGCCGCAGTTCAACATCTGGCCCACAGAGCTGTTCGCTCTCAGTACAATCCCGGTCCACCCGGACGGTGTGGAAGCCATCCACGGAGACGTGCAGCCATGTCTCAGTGAAACACATCAGACTGCACTCCCGGTACTCTGCGTGGCTCCATGTTAATGCCGTTAGCTCGTTCATTTTGTTGATGAGAGACCGCACATTCATCAAAACAAGAGAGGGGAGACACGGCTTAAATCTTCTCCTTCTCCATTAGCCCCCGTCCCGTCTCGACCCTCCTCTCTTCCACCAACATTGCTTCCCTCCTCTGCATCCCTGGTGTGTTTTTGTGGCCGGGCCCAAAACTCTAATTCCAGGGCCTGCTTAAAATCAGTCAAATTATCTAAATTAAAAACCGACAACGCAAGTTATAAGTGCGGACCAAAACATTTCACATAAATCAGCTCAAAATTGCCACGCAGCGCTTACTTCCTGTTGCCAGTAGGTGGCGCTATCACTATGTCTGAATGTTGTCATGTAGACATGTTCAAGGCGAGACTGTTATCAAACACGTGAAGTTTATTGGAGATTGGACATTGCACACTGAAGTTATGAGAGCTGTTTTATGGCGAATCTGCTGAAATTGACAAGTTGTCACTGGCACGTGGTTTGATGTACAGTCACAAATAGCTCAACTTTTAATCAACACCATTTTTTGACTGTACTGACCAATTTTGAAGCATATCCGATAAATTCTCTAGGAGGAGTTCGTTCAAATACAACGCGAAAAGTTTGTCGAAAGTGAAAATGAAAATCAAAATGGCCGACTTCCTGTGGGGTTTCGGGTATGGGTCCAGGAGGCTTTTTTGTACGTCCCGGCATGTTACACGTTCCTACTGAGTTTTGTACATATCGGTGAAACATGGCGCTGGGGCTGCTGTTTTTTTATCCTGTAGGGGGCACTACAAACACGACGAACACGATTTTTGGTATGTGAGCTTCAGGCACTACTCTACACGTGCCCTGTGAATTTCATATTCATAACTATTACGGTCACAGCACAGTGATTTATCATACCACCAGACCGCCACCTAGTGGCGGATTGTTGACACATTTTTTAGCGAGCCTCAGGGAGCCATGGGGAAGCATCCTACCAAGTTTCATCTTAATCACACATACCGTTGTAGAGATATAAACTTCTTCATTTTAAAGAGCGCCACTTAGGGGCGATGGCCTGAAATTTTGCACGATGCTTAAGGAAGACATGAGGAACTATGGACCCAAGTTTGGTGTCAATCAGACATACCAATGTGGAGAAATGGTCCACTTCCTTTTTGACGAAAAATCCACAGGAAGTTCTAATTTTATAACGTGCTGGTTTTTTGAAATATCAAAATTCTGTTAATCACTTTTTTATTATGAGGGTCCTCAGAGATGCTACGTGAAAAATTTTGTGCGAATCGGACAAAGTGCATGGGGGAACACGGAAAAATAGTTTATGGACATTTTGCGTTCTAGCGGAGAAAAAATTATAGGCGGGAGTGGGCGTGGCCTATATGGGGAGATTCAGCTCTATTCACCAAACGCGTGGATACAAGGTTTTTGAATGTGCGACAAACTATGCAGAAGTTATTAGCCTAAACGCATTTTTTATGATACTAGCACCACCTAGTGGCCTACCCGAAAGCGACCCATAGAATATCCCCATTTTCACCAGGCCTGACAACTCTGCCAAATAAAATTGACTTTTCGTATATGTTCAGGGGGGCAAAAGTGCAGTCAAAGGGGGCTAAAAATAATAGGTAAGAAGAAGAAGAAACATAGCAAATACAATAGGGACCTCCAGCGGTCGCTGGCTCGGTCCCTAAATATAATGTCCATAAAATGCTGCGTCCCTCGTGCGCAGTCCACGGTCGCCACCACCTGTGGTTCGTTGCGCTAATTAGTCTGAGCACTGCCTGTGAGTATGTGCGTAGTTCAGGGCCAGTACGTAAAAAGAAACACTACATGCAATAGAAAACCAAATCACAGCAAACCAAACAAAACAACAAAACATGCAACACAAAAAACGGACACACATTTTCTCCAGAGTTCAGGTGCCGGCCGGCATTAGTGCCATCAGCTGTTCTCTAGAGTAAACAAGGGCAGCATGTCCCGGTGGAAGTGGTATTAAAACACGAAAACAAAACACAAAAACTCTATCAAACAACATCGTTAGAGAGGGCAGGACTTCATAGAGTTACAGTGAAAAAAATAAGAACGAACAAAAACTGTGACATCACTCATTCACAGCTCTGATGTCATCATTAAAGTGTCAATCAATGATCAGATGATAGATCAATAACTGCAGCTGTATTGTGTCTTGTTCTCTCCATCAGATTCCTGTGAACTCACAGTCGACACAAACACAGTGAACAGAAACATCAAACTGTCTGACAACAACAGGAAGGTGATAGTTGTGAAGGAGGTTCAGCCATATCCTGATCATCCAGACAGATTTGACTACTGGCCTCAGCTGCTGTGTAGAAATGGTCTGACTGGTCGCTGTTACTGGGAGATTGAGTGGAGAGGACAGGTTTCTATATCAGTGAGTTACAGAGGAATCAACAGGAGAGGAAACAGTAGAGACTGTTTGTTTGGAAGGAATGATCAGTCCTGGTGTGTGGAGTGCTCAGATGGTCGTTACTCTGTCTGGCACAACAAGAAAAGAACATCCATCTCCTCCTCCTCCTCCTCCTCCTCCTCCTCCTCCTCTGGTAGAGTAGCAGTGTATGTGGACTGTCCTGCTGGCACTCTGTCCTTCTACACAGTCTCCTCTGACACACTGATCCACCTCCACACCTTCAACACCACATTCACTGAACCTCTTTATCCTGTGTTCGGGTTTGGGTTCTGGTCTGGTTCCTCAGTGTCTCTGTGTCCTCTGTAGGAGGGAGAGAGAAACTTTCTCACTGCTGACCAGATAGTTCAGTCTGTACAGGATCACACACAGCTGATGTTAGTTAGTACCAACCTGATGTGTTTACTGTAATAGAGGAGGAAGAGGAGGATGAAGGAAGAGAAGAGCAAAGGATGATGGGATGAAGGAATCATGTGTGAGGGTAATGTGCAGCCTGCAGACGTAAAAAAAGACGTAAAATCTTTTTTAAACCACAGTTAGAGAAAAAATGTTTTTATGACTCAAATATTAAAGTGTGATCATTCAATTTGAATCTAAAACTGAACATTGCTACCTTAAAACTTGTGTGTGAAAGAAAATGTGTTCAACAAGAGTCTTTCAGGATCAAATTCAGCATCTGTGTAAAAATAATTAAAGGTGTAAAGAGTAGCTTTGATTTTGAACAATTCATCATGTTTGGTCATCGTGGAACAAATGTACAGACTTTAATAAGTCAGGTTGAAATCAAAAGAAATGAAAGTTCTGGGATGATTCTAGATAATAAATGATGCTGAAAACCACATTTAAATGATGTCAAAGCAAAACTGTCCAAATGGATCCCAACACTGTATAAACTGAAGGATTTATTAAATCCAGCTTCATTCTCCACTTTGTATTGTTCACTTCTACTTCCATACATCACTGACTGTGTGCTCGTTTGAGGAAACTCATATAAAACAAACAGAAATCTGATTTTTACTTTTGAAAAGAGAGACATAGGAAGTGTAAACCAAACTACTGATCAAGAACCAACTCAGCTGTTTATTCAATGAAAGGCTGTAAAATTCAGAGAGTTGGTGGATTTTCAACCAGCACAGATCAGGTATAAAGTCAGAAACTAATGACGAGCTGAAAGAGTTCAATGGTTGTTTGAAATTAGAGAAAGTCCAAATAATTTGAGAGGATCTGCAGGTTTAAGGACTGATGTCAAAAATCACTTAAGTTAAAGAGGTGAACTTGTGGAGCAGCTGTAGTGAGGAAATCAATCATTCCATAAAGAATCATTTCATGAACAAATATAAAAGTGATCAAACTGACATGTAGTCATTATTATAGTAGAGATGGTGTCACATAAGTCTGACGTCAAACAGGTCAAAGACTCAATAATCTGCAGCTTTTCACTCTGTACAAAATCAATCTTTCTCTTCTTCATTTGTTTTATCCTTTCAGTTTTTTTGTGTCATTATTTGTGTAAAATTTCAATTTGAGTTAATTTTCCTCCCAAAGTGTTTGTGCAGAAATATAAACAGGACGTTGATGTTAGTTTTTGTTTTAGTGAACTGAAGATTTCTGTCACTTTGTCATGACGTCAGTGTATTTTTTACTCAACATGTTGACTCTGAATGTTCCCTTTCTTATCAACATGTTTTTACTGATTATTCCTCTGCTGAAGCTAATGACTTCTATATTATTCATTTGATTTTATTGTTGGCAAAAACACATATTCATGAATCTTGCAATCACAAACAGTCTTTAACTGAACATTAAAACAATGTTTCTACTCAGAAAGTTTGTAAAACCTTCAATTTATCTACTTTATTCCGTTTTCTTTAATATTCTTGTCCTGATGTCACTGTGATGTCACTGTGATGTCACCATGGTGTATACTTTCTGTCTGTTGTTCTTGTTCAATAAAGTTTTAAAGAAATAAACCTGCTGGTGACTCCCAGTGTGCAGAGGTGGAGGAAGTATTCAGATCATTTACTTCAGTAAACGTATCAGTACTGTAATATAAAAATACCCCATCACATTGAAAATGTTTCTAAAGTATCAAAAGTAAAGTACTAATAATTAATAAGTGTGCCCTGTGAGTGTTACGCTGTTATATAAGATAGCATTGGATTGTTACTACTGATGCATTCATGTGTAACGAGTATCTTATAGTTGTAGAAGTCAAGGTGGAGATCATTTGAACTCTTTTAGAGTAACTGCAGCTGTCAGATAAATGTAGTGCAGTAAAAAGTACAATAGTCTCATTTTATTCTGCCACTCAGTAACGTCCGCGCCGCAATCATTGCTTCAGTACCAACAGGGGGCGCTGAAGTTCATCTGACTTTTCATTCTAACACTCAGGAGTTGTTGTGTGCTCCGAACAACCACCAGGTGACATCTGTGAGGGAGGTGGAGCCCGTGACAACAGCTGTGGGAAGCCCTCTGACTGTACATGGTAGTTGTAGTCCTATAGTATAATGCTTCCCTGCAGAGTTTAAACTGAAAAGAGGAAGAACAGCAACAACACAAAAAGTCAGAAATTACTGTGAGGTTGGAAACAATCAAAGCTCCTCTCTTCCCCGCTCTCTCTCTCTCTTCTGTACTCATTCATGTCTCATTAATGCATGTTACTAACTTCACCTCTTCCCCGGAGTTCTTGTGCTTTCTCGCAGGTTCTCATGGATCCTGGTGGTCCAGAGGTGGTGGTGGTCTTCAGAGTTTGTCTGAAGGGCTCCCAACTGTATTTGTCTCAACAGTTCATGCAGCATGTGTTGAGTGTGATGCTGCAGTGTGTAGCAAAGACATATTCATTTATGTACTTTCATCCACCACAAATTCTGCTTCACCTTTGGCCATTGCCCTGACAACGGTGCAGTCACTGCCACTATCTTGACTCCTCAGTGAGTCTTTGTTCATCTTGTTGGTTTAGAGTACAGTGGGAGTCTTTCTTAACACGATTACTTACATTGCAAGTGTATCTTACATAGTCATAGTTAGGGTCATTATTATTATTAGTAGTAGTACTAGTAGTAGTAGTAGTAGTAGTAGTGGTAGTAAGGCTCTAGTGTTTATTTATTTTCTTAAAATAAGAGGAAAAAAGTGGATGTTGCACATTTTATCTTTATTTTCTGTTATTGTAATTGTAATTATTATTATTTCAGTGTGTAGTCATTTTCATAGAGAACACCTAAAGAACATGATAGAAAACAGGATATGTTCTCGACTGTCTGCAGTGAACAGCACCAGCGGGGCACTGTGGCCTTATTGTCGTTGCCCCCTTAAAAGCTGGTTTCTGCCGCACCATCCATTGAAGCTCTGGGTTAGCTATCTGTACTCATCCTCACTATCATCTGTGATACACCATCATTATTTGAAGAGGGTTTTGTATACGTGCAGCCCTATAGAAGAGGGCTATAGTAAGTTTGGGGTTTAAGAGTCACTTTGTACTGTAATGGTTGAAAGGTCAGCCTTTGCTTTTTATTTTCTCCAATACTACCTACATTTGGTGTGAAAGTCACACTTCAGACAGTCCCTTAGGATGTATTCACATTGTTTACTGCAGTAAAAGTATTAATACTACACTATAAAAATACTGTAGAATTGAATTGATAAGTAAATTTAGCTCACATTATGTCTGTCCACACAGAGACAAACACAAGGTAAAGGTCCATGAAGTGATATTTGGATGTGAACAGTGAATCTGATGACTCCCTGTAGTGGTGTCCTGCTGATCCCACTGAGAATCAACAGCTCAGTGTTTAGCTTCAACTGTCAGTTTGGTTCAGTCCCAACAGCTCTAACCAACCCATCTATATAGCTCTCCCTCCCTTACTGTAAAAGCTGAAAAAGAGTGTTGGTGACCAGACAATGGACTTGTCTTGTTAGATCTTACTGCTGCATTTGACACCACTGACCATCATATTCTATTATAGAGCCTTGTACATCTTATTGGCATTAAAGGAACTGCACTAAGCTGGTTTACTGGTTTACTACTGCTTGTACTATTTGTACTATTTGTGTTATCTGTTGTTTGTGGATTCTTACTGTTGTGGATTCTTACTGCTTTTCTCTTGTACATAGTGTTTTTATTTATTATCTTTCCTACTCCTACTGCTTTTTCCCTATCCACTTTGCCGCTACATCATTGGAATTTCCCCATTGTGGGACAAATAAAGGAATATCTTATCTTGTCTTATCTTTAAGGCCTATTTATCAGATCGATCCCAATTTGTACATGTCAACAAAAACAAAAAAAAAAAAGTGAAGCAGTTCTGTTAAAAAGAAGAAGAAGAGTCTATCACATCATCTGTTGACTATGTTGTTCCTCTTTCTCTTCCCCTTCAGATAGAACAGTCATCACGTGTTAGTTAACATGAACTATGTGGTTTAGGAATAAGGGCCGTCTAAGTAACTGCGTGTATGAGACCTTTTTGTCTCTGTGGGGCAATTGATTTTGCCACAGTAAAAAGTAAAAACAACAACAACAACAACAACAACAACAACAACAGTAACATAGGGTGAGACATAGAGATAAAAAGAAAAACCCACCCATGACTACACATATTTAAAAACATGAACATAAAACAATAAAACATCACTTTGTAATTTATGTCTCACCCTGTGTGTTGTTGTTGTTGTTGTGTAATTTTTATTGATACTGCAGCAAAATCAATTGCCCATAAAGGTCTTGAATACATGCACTTTAAGTTAACATGAACTATGTGGTTTAGGAATAAGGGCCGTCTAAATGTTCTTCTATCTGAAGGGGAAGAGAAAGAGGAACAACATGGTCACATGACAGAGAGAGACCTGCTTTACTTTTTTGTTTTAAATATTTGTTCATGGCAGATAACGACTAAGGTGTCATCATTTTACTACATTTTCCTTTTGGTGTGAAAGCCGGCTACGAGGAATACAGCATCCTCCAGGTGAGTTAAGTCGTCCTCTCCAGGACTGTCTACTGTGTGTTGGTGGGAAACTGAAATGTTTGATATGTGTATGTTTTTATTGTAGAGAGTTAATATTTTATGAGAATTGCCTTTATACCTTGTAGGTTGTAGAGATAAGTGATATTCTTTAAACTGGAGAGGATCAACATGTTGTAAAACTGAGTGTCAGAGGTTTGAAGAGATCACAGGGAGCGTAATCAACATGTGAGTCGAAACCAAGCTGGAGGCCTCTGGGGTTGAAAACAGAGATCTTCCCCCAACACAGCAGGTTTAAAGCTCCCTGTGGTGGAGGTTTGGGTCTCTGACCCCAGTATGGGGACTGACCCTGACCCAGTGACCAGAGGCCTCAGGGACCAGTCCGTCCTCCTGTAGACTTGTATTAGAGGGCCACAGGCACAAGACAGTACACACTGGGGGGAGTAAGAAATTCTAGATTATTATTACTGGTATATGTGGCTGTGTACCGGGTTGAGCTGATTTTGACTATTTAGTTAAGACTGTGACTTATTATTATTGTTATTAATCATTATTTTCTCCATTAATCCAATGATTGTTTGTTTTGTAAAACTTGAAGGAATTTTGAGAAATACCCAAAGTGACACAATGTTGGTTTTGTCTCACCAACAGTTCAAATCTCAAATTCAGAGCTCAGCTAGCTTTACTAGCAAAAATCTTTTTATGTAAAATCTCTTTTTTCCATTCACCACAGAAAATATAACAGCTGAGTAAATTTAGACCTACTTAGGAAGTATTTACATTGTTTACTGGAGTAAAAGTGGTTATACTATACTACAAAAATACTGCATTACAACTTAAAGTCCTGCATTCAAAATGTTCCTCAGGTACAGAAGTATTATCAGCACAATGTAGCTGATGTATGAAACTGGAAGTAGTCAGTCTACAGAATGGCCTCTGTCAGTGTTTCATTATTATATTAGTGGATGATTATTATTGATGCATTAACATATAATCAGTACTTTAATGTTGGAGTTGCAGCAGGTGGAGCCAATATGAACTACTTTAAATACTTTCTGCTTGAATGTAAAATGTATATATATATATATATCTATACATAGATATATATATTTATAAACTGATCACATGTTTGAAAATTAAGAAGGAAGTAAAGCTGTCAGATAAATGCAGCTCCACAAGGCCATCTAGTGGACTGATAGTACAGCTGATGGCAGCTTTCTGCTCTCATTCTTCCTCAACACTGACTAATGAGAACAAGCAGCATCTCCTCCATCCAATAACAAACCCAAGAAACTTGAAGTGTCTTCCACTTGACATCAACCCAACCCCACAGACTAAAGAGCATTGTGAATGTCATTTATTAGATACTGCAGCTCAAAGTGCCAACAACAACATTTCTACTCTGCATGGAAACTGTCAGATGAGTGTATTAAGTATTGAGCTAAATTTGTTATTTCCTCCAATCAGAGCTGTGTGTGTTTGTCATGTGACTGAGAGGAATGATGGGAAATAATGTGTGATCTCTCCCAGCAGGTTGCTGTGTCTGTGTGAAGGTGTGGGTTTTGCTATGAATCAGTGTGAGGACAGAGAGGAGGGAGTCCCTCCCTCTAAAAGCACTCTGTGTGGGGAAAATGACACAAGGACCAAAGCTCAGAGGTGAGATGAGGATCTCTAACTGTCCATGACTCTTCTCCATGTTACAAAGGCTTTGATTCTCCATTTGAAACAAAGACATTTATCTGAGCTAAAGTACGTAGTTGTCAGTATTCAAACGGGGCTGGACAATCTGATCTCAAATCAGTATCAGGAGAAACATTCAGCTTCATAATGAGAAATGTAACAGTAACATGTGTTTGAATCAATCAGAGCAGATTTCCTTCCTCGTGTTGCTCACTGTTGATGTTTGTCCTGATTCATTCCAGTCTGACCAGTTTCACATTCTGCTCTTCTGGACTGGACTGGGAGCTGATTGCTCGCTGGTTAGATGTTGTAGCTGCTCTCACTTTAATTATATG